GTACATTGAGCAGCATCAGAAGTTGCAGTACGGTGGGTAGGAAATATTATATATTGTATTTACTGACTTTAAGCATCTATGTGAGGAGAATAAACTTTTTACAGTACTGCTGCCATGTCCTTGGGCCAGAGTCTGAGAGTTGACCTTGCTGGCCACATGCTTCACATTCCTTCTAAGGGGAGCATTGAATGTCTCTTGCTATCCTCCAGAAACATGACTTCTTTCTGCCTACCCATCTCCACTATTGATGCTGCCAGTACCACATCCAATCCACTGAAACCTTTCCCGTGCTCCATTTGTTGTATAATGGGATATGAATGTATTAATGAAGATGATGTTCCTCAGATAGCTTCAGACAAAAGAGACACTTGTGATCAATACTCAAAGAGGACTGGAAAAGAAACACTGTGCTAAAGAACTGTATTCAACATGATGCACATTATAGTATAAATTAAGAGCATAAAGTTTCACAAAGAGTGAGATAGTCACAAACTTAAGGACAAATTATGGATGCAAGAGGCTCTGAACAGTAGTAGCCTAGTAAAACAGTACTGCTTCTAAGAGTGCAAGTCCTAACTAGAGAACCAAAAGAGTTTAGACTTGATGAAAGCAGTCAAGAGTGGGAGAAACAAAATCCATAGGCCGAGCTGCCATAGTCCAATGCATTGGTTAACATAGAAACTACGCTTGTTCCGTTTTCCACCTTGGAAATTCCAGTAATATTACTCAGTATAGCTCTTCTTTAGAAAGATCAGCTTACCTTTAAGAACAGAATATTGGTTTCATCATGTTCTCACAGCACAAAGCTGTCTGGTCCATGATAATTCTGAAGAAGCAGGCAGCAAGCAGGAACCCATCTGGCCCCTCACTGCTTTCATTAAATGATTGACTGAATGATTGATTGTCAAGTGTCCCGAAATACTGTGAAAAGCTTTGTTTACGAGTGGTACAGGCAGATCACAGCAAACAAAGGATGTATAGATCAAAAAGACTTAGAGGCATACAGGTAGCATTGCAGGTTACAATATTTGAGGCTACAGTCCATTCAACAGACTGATATCAGCCGGAAAGAATCTCTTCCTGAACAGCTCATGCATGTGTTCAGGCTTCTGCATCTTCTGCCTGATGGAAGATGTTGCAGGAGGTCATTACCAGGCTGCGATGGGTCTTTGACAATGTTGACTGCCTTTCCACGGCAGAGAGCTGGGTAAATAGAGTCCATAGATGGAAGTTTGTCTTCCGTGATGGTCTGGGCCGTGGACACCGCCTTCTGTAATTTCTTACAGTCCTGGGCAGAGCAGTTGCCATACCAGGCTGTTACGCACCCGGACAGTATGCTTTCAATGGTGTATCTGTAGAAGTTGGTGAGGGACCTTATGGACATGCCAAATTTCCTGAACCGCCTGAGGACAAAGAAGTGTTGTGCCTACTTGACTGTTGCATTTACATGGGAAATCCAGGACAGATCGTCAGTTGTCATCACTCCGAGGAACTTGATGCTCTTCACTCTCTCAAGTTCAGTTCCATTAATGTAGAATGGGGTGTGTTCTCCTCCTTTCATTCTGAAGTCAATGATCAGTTCTTTAGTTTTGCCGATGTTGAGAGACAGATTGTTTTCATTGCACCATGTCACCAAGCGAGATATCTCCCTTCTGGATTTTGATTTGTCATTGTTAAATGCCCCACCCACTACTGTGGTGTCATCAGCGAACTAGTAGATGGCATTTTTTCAGAATTTGGCAACACAGTCATAGGTATACAGGGAGTACAGTATGGGGCTGAGTAGACATCCTTGGGGAGGCTCCAGTGTTAAGTGTTATTGTGGAGGAGGTGCAGTTATCTCTCCTCACTGATTGTGGCCTATGGGTCAGAAAGCTGAGGATCCAGTTGCAGAGGGCAGCGCCAAGACCAAGGTCACACAGTTTTAAAATCAGTCTGGAGGGGATAACGGTGTTGAAGGCGGAGCTGTAGTCAATGAGCAAGGGTCTGATGTCGGTCTCTTTGTTGTCTAGATGTTCCAGGAATGAGTGAGGATCTGTTTTGTTGTTAGGCAAATTATAGGAGATTGAGGCAGGTTAGGAGACTGAAGTTGATGTGGGCCATGACCAGCCTCTCGAAGCATTTCATGATTATTGAAGACAGAGCTATTGGGTGGTAGTTGGAGCACCAAGTTGTCATGCTTCCCATCTCCTATGGAACCAGCCTGGGCAGGTAGCAAATCCCACACTCAACATTTAATTAAATATGTCAATTCACTTATATTCATAGGTCTCTGAATACTGGATTGACAAAGGAAGGAATGGCAAATAATTTGTAGAATCCCTTTCGATTGTCCTTAACCCTATTTGCCAAAGCTATCTCATGCCCCCTTTTTACCCTCCTGATTTCCCTCTTAAGTATACTCCTATTGCCTTTATACTCATGTAGGGATTCACACAAATCTTGCTGTCTATATGTGACATATTCTTTCTTCTTTTTCTTGACCAAAACCTCAATTTCTCTACTCATCCAGCATTCCCTACACCTACCAGCCTTACCCTTCACCCTAACAGGGACATACTGTTTCTGGACTTTCATTATCTCATTTTTGAAGGCTTCCCATTTTCCAGCTGTCCCTTTACCTGCGAACATCTGCCCCCAATCAACTTTTGAAAGTTCTTGTCTAATACCATCAAAATAGGCCTTCCTCCAATTTAGAACTTTAACTTTTAGATCTGGTCTATTCTTTTCCATCACTATTTGAAACTAATAGATTTATGTTTGCTGCCCCACTGACACCTCAGTCACCTATCCTGCCTTATTTCCCAATAGAAGGTCAACTTTTGCTCATTCTCTAGTAGGTACATCCACATACTGAATCAGAAAATTTTCTTGTATACACTTAACAAACTTCTCTCCATCCAAACACTTAACACTATGGTAGTCCCAGTCTATGTTTGGAAACTTAAAATCCCCTACCATTACCACCCTATTATTCTTATAGATAACTAAGATCTCCATACAAATTTGTTTCTCAATTTCCCACTGACCACTGGGGGAGTCTATAGTACAATCCCAATAAGGCGATCACCACTTTCTTATTTCTCCGTTCCACCCAAATAACTTCGCTGGACATATTCCCAGGAATATCCTCCTTAAATACAGTTGTAATGTTATCTCTAATCAAAAACGCCACTCCCCCCCCAGTCTTTGCCCCCTTCCTATCCTTCCTATAGCATCTATACCGTGGAACATTAAGCTGCCTGTCCTGTCCATTCCTGAGCCACATCTTTGTAAGTGCTATTATATCCCAGTCCCATGTTGCCAACCATGCACTGAGTGCATCTGCCTTACCTGTTCGGCCTCTTGAATGGAAATAAATGCAATTTAATTTAACAATCCTATCTTGTACTCTGTTTTGTTCCTGCCTGCCCAGACTGTTTGACTCATTCCCTTTCTCAACTGCACAAGTCTCAGACTAATCTTTTTGCCCACTGTCTCCGAGTCGCATCCACCCACCCAAACCCCGTTCCCCACCCCACACTCCTCACTCCACCCTGTCACCACCACGCACCCCCCCCACCACCTCCCATTACCACCTCCCCCCTCCCCAGCCCTAGACCACCACCCTGTACTCCCCACCACCCCTCCAACCCTCAATGCCTATCCCCACTATATTGGTCCCCTTCCAGTTCAGGTGCAATCTGTATTTCTTATACAGATCACTTCTAGCCAAGAAGAGATTTCAATGATCCAGAAATGTGAATCCTTGTCCCCTGCACCAGTTCCTCAGTCATAGAGTCATACAGCACTGTAACAAACCTTTCGGTCCAACCAGTCCACGCCGAACATAATCCCAAACTAAACTGATCCCACCTGCCTGCTCCTGGCTTATATCCCTCCAAACCTTTCCTATTTATGTACTTACCCAAATGCCTTTTAAATGTTGTAATTGTACCCAAATCCACTACTTCCTCAGGAAGTTCATTCCACACGCAAATCACCCTCTGTGTAAAGAATTTTTTTAAAATCTCTTTCCTCCGACCTTAAAAATATGTCCCCTAGACTTGAAATCTCCCATCCTCGGGAAAAGGCAACAGCCATTTACCCTGCCTATACCCCTCGTTACTATATAAACTTCTAAGGTCACCTCTCAACCACCTATGCTCCATTGAAAAATGTCCCAGCCTATCCAACCTTTCTTTATAACTCAGACCTTCAATACCCGGCAACACCCTGATAAAACTCTCCTGAATGCCCGCCAGCTTAATAATATCCCTTCTGTAGCCAGAACTGGACACAATATTCCAGAAGAGGCTATGATCATCATTAGACTCTTAATGCCAGAATTTTTTATTAAGTTCAAATTCTACCATCTGCTGTGGAGAGGCTTGAACTCAAAGCCCTAGAACATCACCCTGTGTCTCTGGACTGACAGTCCGGAGGCTGTTGCCTCCCAACTACAATGCCCTCCAATGTGACATTTGCGGAAACCTTATTCATAGCTATGTTTTAAAATTCTAAGTAACCATAACAGCATTGTGTTTAACAAGTCTGATATTTTCTTTCCGCACTCACATTCTGTCCAAGCTTACATTCAAGGTTATAAAATTTAGCTTGTCAGACTATCATGTAAACACTGAAGGATGTCGTAGGTAGGGCATTTTAAAATACTTTAACAAATGTTAAAACAAGTGCAAAAACTTGTTTTTTTTCACTAAGGTCAGGAGAAGTTACACAAACATTTTTCTTTTATTGTCATTCCTGGATGCAAATGGACTCAGTGTTCAAGATAGGATTCTAAGATAATTCTGGGATACTCATTTAATATGAACATCAGAAAGGCACAACAAGATCCAGTTTCAGGGACTAGTATCCAAAGTCCAACAATCTCATGAAAGCTATTTCACTTAATAATTAATAAGAAAGTTAATAATTAACTAAATACATTTTCACGTATAACTGGTTGCAAGACCTAAGTCAATTGCAATAATAATTAAAGTCAATAATTTAATCTTAGAAATTAGTACTGAAGCCTGGGGTAAGATTGGTGCAAAAATCAAATATGTTGAATCAAGTTTCACAAATATGGAAGACATTGTTTGATAGGAATGCTTAGCTCTTGTGAGGAAAGGAGGAGTTGCAAATTGTGAAGTCTCATGAAAGTGGTATGTAAAGCTACTTATAACATTTCTTTAAATTAGTGTGAGTGGACAGAAAAATAAATTGTGTTCTCCTGATGAGATGCAGAGATGGGACGTATTTTAAAGGGCTCATGAATTATGGCACTCAGGCAAGGAAACTGTAAATTCTGTTGCTCTCTTTACAAGCTTTGTTACTTTGATTGTTGTGTAAGTGAACATTTGAAGATTCAATATCTCTCCATGTGGTGTGAGAACTGCACTTATTTCAGTTAGCAAATGTACACAGTTTTTCTTAATTTTTTTTGTGTGAAAATTCACCTATAACCTAAGACATTTTGTTTTGTTTCTTGTGAACTTAAAACTAAATGAATGTGGGGAAGATTGAGTTTGAAACTTCTAAAGAATGCGTTTGCTGTAAAGATTTTGTGTGGATAATTGTGAAATTTTGATTTTCAGTTACTAAGTTTCAACACTTTTGAGTTAAAGAAAATTTCATAAAGGAAATTATTGTCTATATTAAGGAGGAAGTAATTGAAACAAGTAAATGCAAATTATAAGATTCAAGTTGAAATTTTTGACCAAAATTACAATTCAAATTTTGTTTTGTTAAACACATAGGAATTTTAATCAGGTTTCACATTCACACGTAAGCTGGTTTTAAATTTGGATGGTGTTAATTGCGGGTCTCAAGCTGTTTACTTTCAAGGTTAGGCGGCACAGTAAACAAGCTAAATTTAGAATTAATGGCGGATTTTAAATGCTTGGAATTTGGAAGTGTTAGTTCCCAGTTTCTAGAAGAACAAAACTGTTAGTTTCTGTGACTGAATGAGTTAATTTATGTTTTTATTTCAGATTCCCAGCATCCTCAAGATTTGACATCTTACGTATATAATTGAGTGGCCTATTGTCTGTCCAAATTGGGCATCACAGTGCAGAACAGAAGACTGGCAAACTTTGTGAGTGAATGTTCATTGGTTGTTTAATCATCAATCACCACTAAAAAAAGTTTTCATAAAATAATTAATGATCCTGAGCAGCCAAGGGAAGCAGAAGAATTTTGATCTCATTCCCTCTACAGTGCTGCTCCACAACATCCCAATTCCTTTGTGCTGCTACTTGCAAATCTGTCAAACTTTGTCTTTATAAAATGGGTGTATTGTCGCTGGAGGTTTTCTAATTGCATACCAAGAAATATTAATAAAGTCTGAGGCCCTGTTTTGGTCAGACCTGAATATCTCCGTGTTTTCTATTACAACTGATATTCTGTGCAACTTTTATTTTAATTAATAAATTTTAAACTTTTGAATGTATCTTGTGATTTTCACTGCTTACTGTTGAGTTGAAGCTGCCTTGGTCAGACTTTTTCACCTTGGTATACTAATGAAGTTGCCACATTAGAAAAGCATTTGGTGTTTTCCTGTAAAACAGTCCAGCCCAAGTGTTCAAATCTACATGTCTAATTACAATATGACTCATGGAAAATGTCAATTTTGTTTATTTTGTTATGTACAGTCCAAGTATTCTTTATGATTTTATCGATTTCTTTACTAATGGTTTGATTGTATAGAACTTGAATATTGCTAATGTATGAGACATAACCATGAGATTTCTCATCTTACACTCCTCAGGACAAATACAAGAATGCTTAACTTCAAAGGAAGCAGAAATTTATACTGCATGAGAAAAGGGCGCTGATTCGACAAAATATTGCCATGGAAAATATACCAATTAGCTATTGTCTCTATGTTTTTGATTAATTCAAAAATATGCAATGCTTGGACATGTTCCTTTTCTGCAGTGGACAGATCCCTGCCTATGTAACTGATAGTAATGAAACTGCGCCACCACCTTTGAAAAAACCTATAGTTTATCACCTTGCAGAGGAGAATGCTGTCAGTGTCCAAAAAAGATGAAGCCTCATTAAATATCTATGTCACTGATTCATTATAGGCAGGATAGAACAATGTTACAAATGTCTCCTAGCAAACTGTCCATTGTTGAATTTGAAAGATAATAGTGACTTCATATTCAAAGAGACGTGACAAAATGATGTTTTCCCTGAAGAGAAGCACCTTGGGAGTTTTTCTTTGTCTGGCTCCAGCCATGATACCTTCATTCTGAGGTATTTGGCTATTCCCACAATCTGCGAGCTTCCAGGAAGAACCAGAATTTGGATGCTTGGAGATATTATTATGTTATTATTATTATTATTATATTCTCCGTCTGACTGATGACCCCTCTCTGTCACCAAACAAGACAAAGACAATGGATATATATTAAAGTCATATAGTCACCAGAAGAATCATTGAGGAGACTATTTGCATGCTAACACAACAGTTCCACAACAAGGAACATTCTGGAATGCAGCATGGGGAGAGTTGTACAATTGGAGCAGGTTGCTAAGCTCATGGTAGTCTCCTGCGCCCTTCCGAACTTTACAATCCTGAGGATGCAACAATTGTCATCAGGTCTGCAGAGGCCACCACTGAAAGAGGAAGAAGAGCAGGAGGGAGAGGGAAGGTGAATTTCACAGGGTCCATTCTGCATAATAAGTTTGAGAGAAGCTTGAGTTAGGGAAGCGTTCCTTCAACACCATGGCTCCAACATTCCCCAAGATATACTCAATGCAGAGTTACAGTACTGGTAGTCAGTGGCTGTTTCTTTCAATCAGTGCAGCTCCCTTTAAAAGAGGCAGATTGTCTTTAAGAACTGGAGGTGAGATGGAACAATGCATGCTTCACACACTGTGAGGTCCCCTGCTTACAATTTAGCTAGCCAGCATCATGGATCTCTTTAAAAACCAAAAGAACTGTGGATGCTGTAAATCAGAATCAAAAATAGAAATTCCTCAATTCTGAGGAAGAGTCACTTGACCCAAAACATTAATTCTGATTTCTGTCCACAGATATTGTTAGACCTGTTGAGCTTTTCCAGAAGTTTCTGTTTTTTTGTCACAAATCTCTTTTTTTGGCTGACTGCTACAATTAAAAAGTGATGCAGTATAAAATTTGCATGCTGTTCATCTCAAAAGCACCAGGCATGGGTGATTATTGGATGGTCCATGACTTTGACCTTGACTGGCTAATATCACTCAAATACAGGCTAGTATACATGAGTACCTCTGGTCATTAGCACATCTTGTTCCACACATGCCAGCGTTGAAATGGCCCTTAACACCTGTCCTTGTGTATTCTTGAAAGTCGAAGACACAATCATGTCTCTCCCCCCGACTGCTGTCTTTACTCGTACCACGTTACAGTTTGAGATAACTCCTAGGATATTAAGTACAATTTGTAGTGCATTTTCTCCCTTTTAAGTCCATCCCTCTGAAGCTTTCTTGACACCTCATCAGGTTTTGATTACATTCTTGATTAGATTCCCTACAGTGTGGAATCAGACCCTTTGGCCCAACAAGTCCACACTGACCCTCAGACATCCCACCCAAACCCATCCCCCATTACCCACCTAAACTACACATCCCTGAACATTATGGGCAATTTAGCATGGAAAATCCACCTAGCCTGCACATCTTTGGACTGTGGGAGGAAACTGGATCACTCGAAGGAAACCCACGCAGGCACGGGGAGAATGTGCAAACTCCACACAGACAGTCTCCCGAGGCTGGAATTGAAACCAGGTTCCTGGTGCTGTGAGGCAGTGCTAACCACTGAACCACCATGCCGTCCAGGTGTGACATTCCAGCATCTTTATCCCCAGACAACCACTGAATCTACAGTCATAGTCATCCATTTTAAACAAATGCATGTTGAGATTATAATTTGTACGTGAATAGGTGTTCCGGGGTTATGATCTCTAATCATGACAAGACAAAATATCTAAAAACTTAGTGTAAACTGACTTATATTCCTTGGAAAGATCAAACGTTACAATGAACAATAAACAATGATCCTTTAAAGTACACAGTTCCTCTTTGAATTTAGTTTGTATTCAGGATCGAAGATAGAAGCTCAAATTAGTTTACTTTAATTTACTGTTTACCGTCTGGGTACAACATGATGGGGATTAAAGTCAATAACCCCAAACTGTGGCATAGCTATGGGGTAGATGTTGACTTTGTGTGACTTCTAAGTTTTGTTGTCATATTCATGTCACACTCTCACATACGGTCAAAGTTTACCCACATTAGCGTGAATTAATTTTGGAAATCATTCTCACCCATAAACTAATACAAGTAGTACAACATTGAAAGTTATAGAAATGAAAACACAAAATGCTGGAGAAACCTAGCAAGTCTGTAGCATCTGTAGAGAGACAAAATGAGTTAATATTTCAGGTCCAATATGACTCCGCTTCAGTTCTGAAGCAGAGTCACATTGGATTCAAAAGATTAACATTGCTTTTCTCTCCATGAATTCTGCCAAATGTGATGAATTTCTCCAGCCCTTTTAGTTTTTATTTCAGTCCCCAGAGGGTTGAATAGTAGGCGAGCAGTAGTGATAGGGGACTCTAAAGTCAAGGGGACAGATAGGTATTTCTGTGGCCATGACTGAGAGTCCAGGATGGTGTGTTGCCTCCCTGGTGCCAGGGTCAAATATGTCTCTGAGCATGAACAGGATAGTCTGAACGAGGAGGGTAAGCAGCCAGAAGTTGTAGTCCATATTGTAAGAATAACAGAGGCAGGATGAGAGATGAGGTCTTGCAAAGGGAATTTAGGGAGTTAAATAGCAAGTTGAAAAGCAAGACCTGCAATAAGAGAAGACATTTTGGAGGGCTCATCCATATGGATAGAACTAAGTAATGAGAAAGGCACAATCACTTTAATGCGTTTATACCGTAGGCCTCCCAATAGGCAGAGGGAGATAGAAAAACAGAAAGAGATAAAACAACAGATATGTTATGGTAGGTGATTTTAACTTCCCCAATATTGACTGAGAATCCCATAGTTACAGTTGCACAGATAGGTCAAATTTGTTAGACGCATCCAGCAGGGTTTTTTGAAACCATAAATATATATATATTATATATAGTCCAACTAGGGAAGGGGCCACACTGGACATTGTATAGGGGGATGAGCCTGGCAAAGAGATAAAAGATTCTGTGGGCAAGAAATTTGGGAACAGTGGTCATAACTCTTGTAAGTTTTAAGATAGTCATGCAGAGGGATAAAGTGGTCCTTGGGTGAAAGTGGTAAATTTGGGAAAGGTTAATCACAACAGTATTAGGCAGAACTGGAGAAATTAATTTGGGGGCAGCTGTTTTTGAGGATAAATCCACATCTGATTTGTGGGAGTCTTTTAAAGATCATTCAATTAGAGTTCAGGACAAGCATGTTCCTGTGAGGATCAAAGGTTAGGATGGCAACAATTGGAAACCCTGGATGATGGGATATGGGAAGTTTACCAAAAAGAAGCAAATGCAAGGTTTAGGAAACTGAAATCAGACAAGGACCTTCAGAACCATAAAGGAAACAGAAAATAATATAAACAAGGAATTAGCAGGGCCAGAAGGGGCCATGAAATGTCCTTGGTAAGTAGGATTAAGGAGAATCCCAAGGCATAGGAACAAGAGAGTAATTAAGAAAGGATGGGCCCACTCAAGTACAAGGAACGAATTTATGCATGGAGCCTGAAGAAGTGGTTGATGTTCTTAATGAGTACTCCTCATTGGTATTCACCAAGGAAAAGGACGTGGATAATGGTAAGATAAGGGAGGGGCATTTTAATATTAAGGAGGTGTTGGGTTTCTTGAAAAACATGAAGGTAGGTAAGTCCCCAGGGCCTGATGGGATCTATCCTAGGATACTGAGAGAGGAAAGTGAACAGATTGCTGAGGCCTTGACAGAGATCTTTGCATCCTCTTTGGCCACAGGCGTGGTCCCAAAGGAATAGAGAATAGTCAATGTTGTTTCTTTTTTAAGAAGGGTAACAGGGATAATCCAGAAAATTACAGGCCAATGAGCCTTACATCAGTTATAGGGAAATTATTGGAGAAGATTATTAAGCTTTACTTGCATTTGGAAAAGAACAGATGTATTTAGGGAGAATTAGCACGACGTTGTGTGGTGGTAGCCTTGTCTCACAATTTGATTGAGTTTTTTCAGGAAATGTCAAAGATTGTAGGGCAGCAGATGTTGTCTACATGGACTTTACTAAAACAGTTGACAAGTTCCCTTATGGTCGGCTGGTTCAGAAGATTAAGTTACCTGGGATCCATGGTGAGTTGCTAAGCTGAGTATAAAACTGGCATTGTCTTTGAAGACAAGAGC